CGACAGCACCCCGCCCATTGATGAAGAGAACTTTCTGTTTTCGTAGAAGTGAACGAACACACCTAACTCTTGAAGAGGCCCTCGACCGCTTCAAAGAAAAGAGGAGCCATTTCTGGGCTTGGAGTTTTTATTGCACACTTGAGTCCAGGGGTACCGACCGCTGTTGTAAGTTCGATTAAGAAAGGGATTCCTCGTGGGATTTTGGCAGAGAGATACAGCACATCTTGATTCGAGTGCTTGCGCTTGGCAATAAAGAACATGTTTGATGTAGCCAGCCTGTCTAAGGTTGTTTCGACACTGTTCAGCACAACTGCTGGGAAGTCCTTGGATATCTCGTTCGAATCGGGTAATGATTTCCATGTCTGCAAATTATTTTAAGATTTCAAAATTTGTCTACAGTGATAGAAATTTGTAACACTTAACACATAGATTAAGTATATGATATGTTTATGTACCTCGAGAAATGTTGAACGCTCCATTCTTCCATCCTCCGTAAAGAATACGATCAGCGGAATTTTGTCACTGAAATACCATACAGGCTGCTGATTATTTTTCACAGCAATCTGCAGAAGTGTACTTGGTGGACCAGGAGAGAGATTCTGGGACAAAACCATGGGCAGAAGAGTACTTGCAGATGTCCCAGGTTGCAATAGAGGAACCTGATTGAAACGAGATGTCAGCTCAGAATTATTACAGCTAAAAGCCGACATATGATAGATACGAAGTAGCCATTACGATTAATTACCTGGAGAGGTGCACCTGTTGTAAGACCAAACGAGTTCTTGTTGAACTGAATCATAAACCCGTCGAGTGGAACCTGAGTACTGTTCTCAAACAACATGCTGTAGAATATCTGGCCATCTCTTCTTATCAGCTGACCACTGATTTGTAGGCCTTGACCAGCAGATGCTGCTAATAGAACTGGCAATGGAGGCCTGCAATCGAATATGTGTATTTCCATGGAAGTGAAAGTGTCAATCATTAGCACATCTTAAGAGAAACTCTAAACATACACTTGAATTAGGGGTGGAATTTGGAACGGAATTTTCGATTTCTGATCCGTGGTTTTCCAATTTTGGAACAATAATTTTCATTGCAAAATCCAAAAATTCCAATCCCGTGGAGCGGAATTGGAATATATATGAGATTCTGATTTCCTATACGGATTTAATTTCCAAAAATTACACTTATAATATCAATGTTGTTATGCATTTATTATTTCACGTGACTAAAGAGTTGGAATTTTCTGAGGTCTGCCGATTCCGATTTGAAAATTTCAAATTTTTAAATAAAGTTTTTTTTGTTCAAATTTCAAATTTTTGGTTTTTCTGAATTTTTTTGGATCGGAATTGGAATTAATTTTTCACTTTTTTCTTGAAAGTGCAAATTCCAATCCGATCAGTCCGTTTTCCACCCCTAACTTGAATGTTAGAAACTGCAAGTGAAATACAGTAAACATACCCAGCAGGGCTTGCAGGTATATCAGTGGCTACAATGGCACTGTTGTTACCATCCATGCCCATCAGATCGAGTAAATCAGCCACCGGTGCAGGAGCAGCAGCTGGCGGCCTTACAGCGGAAGGTGGCACATTTGATGAAGCACCTGCATCACCTGGTACATGAGCAGGTGACTCAGAATTTCCTCCTTCACCATCTGGATAATCCTCTTCCTCTGTTCTCTGAACAGTTTTCACACGAGTCACAAATGCATCAGGGGGCTTGTGGTAGACAGAGGATAGTGTGGCAATGTTGGCAAGAAGCTCGTCCAAGAGAGAAGGATCGAGCTGGTTAGAGTCGTCACTGATCACAGGCTTTTCAGCTAAGACAACATCCTTTGCTGCCTGAAAAGTCGGAGAATACACATTACTTAGAAAAACTTATTAACTGATATACACCTACAAACTATATACCTTGCATAGATGTAATTCTATAAGAAAAGAAACAGAAATTATAATAGGAAGAACACAGATGACCTAGCCACTCCTGGAGCTGTGTGCCATGCTAAGGACTGTGCAGATAGAGATAAGATTAGAAACATTTTCCCTCAAGATAGCTATATACATGGTTAACTCAATTTACACCCGGACCAACTTTTCAGGATTAGGCACGTGGTTCTAATGTTCCACCAAACTGAACAAGATAAACTAAGTATTACAACCCATCCATGCAAAGCAGGAAATATAGGTGTCAGGTTACACGGGTGAGGAAGAAATGAAATAATGTCGAGATAAACTAGGATCCAAGCAAAATATCATGATTACGACTCACTGTTCTGCCGTATCGACTCAACCACACTCCCTTCATTTCTAATATGTTGAACTATAAATCAAAAGCAGCATCTTACAATAAGAACTTCTCTGACTCCAAAAGAATACGAGAAAACCGAATATCATGAAGCAGGAAAGACGCAACTGATTAGAAACATAACATACTAGCGTACCTCAGGATCAGTTGAGAGGAGTCGCCAATATATATATGCACGATCCCTAAGATCTGGATTGTCAGTCTCAACAGTTGCATTATTCAGAACAACCTGTTAATTGTTATAGTGTTAGTCAGGATCTAAACATGTATCATAATAATAGGAAAAACAAATAAAAAAGAGAGTACACAAGTTTATAATTGAAAACCCAGGCGGAGGAGTTGTATATAGAACTAAAATTCCAAAAGTACCCACTATCGCCACTGGAACACAAACATAATGATTAATATATCATTCAAATTATTGGCAAACTTAACCTTGTCAAAATATTCACATGCAGCCACTGAAATCATTTTCAAGTCAACTTAAAACTGTGAGGAATCAAGCAACAACTAAAACAACGATTTGAAGGCCATGGATATAGGAGAAGCTACAGAGCATACCTGAATCATCTGTTGAGGGCCTTCTGTGGGTTTCTTAAGGAAAAGTTTAACTGTTGCTGTTAACAACTGCAATTGGACTTGTGGAGGTTCCTCTGGGAAAGTCTCCAAAAAGCTTTCCAAGAGCTCATCAGCATTATCAATTCTTTCAGCATATTCACCAATTATCCAGATCATTGATGCCTGTAAAGAAAGACGTATGAGGATATTCAAGCTCAACATGATTCCCTCTTGAAGCAAACACACACAAGCGGAGCCAAAAGGTACATTTCCTGCAAAGTACCTTTGCCTCTGGCTCATCCAAGGTGTCTAAGCTCTCACAAAGTGTAGCAATGATAGACTCGTAACTGAAAGAAAACAACCATGATATAAGTTGAAAGGGACAGGAATCATTTTACAAAACACCAGTCTGCCAAGACGTGAAACAATAAAGCAGTTACGTACGTGTTTGGGTATCTCCTAAATATATCCTTAATCACAATAATAGCTTCTTGAACAACATAGTTTACTTTGATCTTGATCAACTCAAGTAAGACACTAATGCATCGTTCAGCAGCTCTCTCTAACTTGATGGCACATCGTCCAATAGCACGGACAGCTTTTCTTACAAAATCAACATCTACTTCAGTAGCATACTCTTTGAACTCCAATAGAACCTGAAGTGTAGATGAAAAAAACATTATAAGTGAATAAAATCAATCAGCATAAATACGAAATAATGCAATCTATTACAAGCAAAATCAACTTACTTGGTCAATATTTCGGTCAGAAGCAAGCTTTATCATGATCTCTAACTTTTCCATCTTCACATAAATCGGATCATTGTATTTGCAGAAAAACACCTTAAGGAGAATAAGTAATTAGTGAATGCACTCACATCCATACTCAAATAAACAATACCAGGAAAAACATCCCAACTTTGTATATGTGAGGCAACACCGCAATACTTACCTTGATTTCATGGGCAAGAATAGTGGGTCGCTTTTGTACGATAAGGTTTATGTTTCGTAACGCAACATACTGAATCTCTGGTTCTGCAGAAAGCAATGTCACGAGTGGTGGGGCCATTTTTTTGCAAAGATTCCTGACTACATCCGTGCTGGTAATCAGTTCCATTTGTAAGAGGATCATCTGCAATCTCATTCCAATTATGTTCATCGAATATCATGGACTGATGAATGGATAATGGTGATATAAACAAGAATAAAGAACTGAAACAAGATAACAGGCAAAAGACTCTTTCATTACGAAAGCTCCACAAGGGTAATGGAAACAGGACAATCTTCCATTGTTAAACAGCTCATAAACAGTAATGCTGAACAAGAAGAGAGAAATTACAACAGTTGGGAAAACTCGCTGGCAATAATATTGTTAAAATTGTCTAGAGGCGGAGAACTCTAACCTTGACTGCTGAAAGAACAACAGCACAGTTGGCATGCTGTAACCGTGGAGTAACTCGCTCCACTATATTTTCAGCTTCACGAGCATCCGCTGCTTTGTACTTGGAAAGAGCATCCAAAATGAAAACTTGACCCCACCTAAAGTTGGCACCATGCCGGTGGACATCCATTAAGTAAAATGAAAAAGGGATTCTTAAGACATAAAGTAAATGAACAAACCCATTTTTTTGAAAACGCATAACTGAAATCGACATTTTAAAGCATCTTAAAAAATAGCACGATAAAAAAAAAAATCACCAACTATGTGATCAGTATAGATAAAGGTAAGCATTATTTTTCACACTTTTAGTATCTATTAGAAAAGCAACTCCTAACTCGAGAGTAGATGCAGTTAGATGCCGGCTTATAACACATGTAACCATGGATATATAGTTATGCTTTAAGAAAATGCCAACAATCCATATTTGTTGTCCTACTCTGTGCATTCATTTAGAGCGGTAAGAAGCTTTGTAAGTGTGTGATTTGTGATCTCAAAGATGGGCCTGCTGCTGTTTTCTTGAATCTCAGCAAGTGCAGCGACAGCATTAGCAACAACCATCGGATTGTTGTCTGAAATTAAATCCTTGAGGGCATCCAGGAAACCTCTATCCTCCACTAACTCAGCATTGATGTCATAAAGTTTTGCAACACATATAGCTGCCGTCTTGCGAACATATGGGTCATCATCCTAATATGAACGAAAATAGGAAATGGCAGTTGTTTAGTCTATAATTCATCAAATTTTAGACATTTCAGATCATAAAAAAATATCTGCAATTATGATTGAACATAGTACCAAACATATGGCAGTTATAGGTATGCACGTTACCTTGAGACAGCGCTGCAAGGGATCACATAAATACTCTGTTATTTTATCAACACGGATGCACCCCATCGTCCTGACAGCTAAAGCACGGATCAGAGGATTTGGATCCTGGGAATCCTGGAAAAAAACACGTAAAATATTAAATTTCAGCCTTTAACTATATTCATTTTTAAACAGCTTAAAATCATCATTAGTCATTGATCAGAAACATGTCTAGTATAATTTGAAAAATGCAGGTTTTACTCACACATGACAGATGATACCATCCACACAAACTATATAGCCATGCACTTGGCATCATTCTTTCAAACACAAATGGTGGTAAGTTAAGCACCCAACTAGAATTTCCCTTTTTCATGAAAAAATATTTTACCTTCCTACAGTTATCACCAATATACGTAATTCGCTTCGAACCACATTTCCTCAATCATGCATCACTATTCTTAACACAACACTCCCTATTATCGATAGGTGAAAAATAGATGATTATTGATCGCTCACAATGATATGCAACAGAAAATGCTAGGGCCTAGGAAGATAAAAGCATTACTATGGCTAGGGTTCAAACTTAAGCGAGGTGGAGGAGAATGGGGTAATTGAGCATTCAGGAGTTATTTCCTTGCAGTTCTTCTTTTTGGTTACCAAACTATTAATTGATCAGTGAGAACTTTATATTACTGAGTGGAATTTTCTTGGCAGTCAAATATCATGGAATTGTTTTCTAAGAAACTCACTGGTTATTGCATGTTTAAGGTCAAGAAATTTCAAAAATGTACTTCATGCAAAAGTTGCAGCAACTCTCTCGAAAGTGATCGTCTTTAATGTCTATGAAATGCCATAACCCGGAAACACTAGAAAATGTAAAAGTTTAAATCCAGCATTTGGAGAAACTAAATGAAAAACTACTCAAAATATTATTGGAACAGAAACTCCTATAGGAAAATGAGTAAGATGTAAACCTAAAAAAGCTTATGGAACCTACATAGATAAAAATCTTGAAACTTAGTCAACAGTAGATCATCATGAAATGGAATCAAATAAGCATAACAAACAACATAAAAACTTGGTCTGCCCGGATGTGTCACGTAAAAAAACATAACATCCGATTAAACGTTAACGTAATTGCAATACCACCTGAAGCGGGATATAAAGTCAAGACATAGCACGGGGAACTACAAAGTCTGAAATTATCTTTTTTTCTCCTTATAGCACCTTACTTAAAATGCCCCTAAAAAAGGAATTTTACGCAGCTTGTGCATTTTGACAAAAAGTAAAATAATAACTAAATAAATAAAAGATCTAACTGTTCAGAACTGAAATTACATTTTACCTTCACAAATGTATTCACGGCGAGAATAGCAAGATCAGGCTGGCTCTTTGCATAGTTGATGAGATATAAATACACAAGCTTTTTGAGCTCCAAATTTTCAGTTTGCATACAATTCACAACATCTGTAAAGAGGGACGATACATCCTTCCCTACTGTCATTGCAGCGATCACCTTCTTAACTGCATCCTTTCTCTTATCCTGCACATAACAAATAACTAAGAGTGTCAATTTTTCCATTTCAAAAGAACAAGAAACTAATCAAAGAACTGCATATTGCCGGAAAAAAAACATGTCAAAATTAATCAATCTAATGTAGGTCATAATCTAATTAAACCAATCGCATCATGTTATAAGTCGTAACCACACAGATCAGATACAAAATCGAAAATCTCAACCACATAAATCAACAATCAAACCTAAAAATAACTAGATCTAACTTCAATCGGCACCAAATCAACGAAGACATCTTCCAAATCAGTAAAATGACGAATCCATCAACAGGCAGATGCCGCAGATCAAGCGCAAAAAAGAAAAAATATTAAAATTTTCCGCAATACAATTCCAAAAACAATTAAGCAGATAGTAATTGATTGAGGCGTAATTGCGAAGAAAGGATGCACGGAAGGAAAAATTAAAGAGCGGAGAGGAACCTTGTACTGAGAATTGAGTTCTTCTTTGAGCTCGGGGATTTCACCCTTTTTGGTAGTGGAGAAATACTTGGAGTCGTGCCCACTCATCGCTCTTCACTGCGGAGGAGCTCGCGCAGATGCTCTGCTTGCGGCGGTGTAGACAGAAGGAATTGTAGAGAGAGAAAGAGATTTCGATGAAAAGCCAACGGGGAAGAATGTAAAATTGTAGAGAGAGAGAGAGACTGGACCTGCTGGGTGCTGGTAATGAACCGGGGGTGCATCCGAGTTGGATTTTATTTCACTTTGATTTTTCTTTTCCTAATTAAACTACTAATATATAATATAAATATATATATATAAAATAAAACCAAATTTAAAATTGGTAATTACAGTACCCCTGAGTTATGGTTAAATTACGAAACCCCCTCGTGTTTGGGTAATTAGTAATTACAATCACCACTCAACTATAAATCTTCTTACACGTCTACCCTTGCAGTTTCAAATTTAATGTAATCTTCTAGATTATATGAAATATTATCACTTTTGTACCTATTTTATCTCATTCGAGCTCCATATTTTGAAGCAAGATGATCATAATATGTGGTTTTTGGCTATATCAGACTGTGGTGCATCAAAACATTATTTTTACACAAAACGAGTACAAGCTAGAGCACATTCCACTGAATCTAGATGATTATGTTGATTTTGACACCATAAGTGTGGATGTGTAAGAAGATTCATAGTTAAGGGGTAAATAGAATTATCCAAACAAGAGAGATTTTTAATTCGTAATTTGACATTACCTCAGGGGTGGTTTGTAATTTTCCCTTTAAAATTTTGTTTCTCTTTTGGGCTAAAGCTTATAACCTATTGAAATGTATTTGGTAAATTTTCAATAATTATTTAAAAAGATAAGTTGTTGTACAACTTATAAGTTATTTAAACATATATACACACCTCACATTGTATATTTAAGATCTCATTTGTTTCTTATTAAAATATTCAAAATATAAAATTACATTACTCAAAAAAGTCGAATCTTAGAAATCCAATATCTAAACACATTTAAAATTAATTTTTAAAATAATATTTAAGAGATTTTCAACTCTTAAAATATTTTATCAGATGTTGGAACTTACAAGATATTCTAAAGTTTAGTTGAACGAGGCCAAAATTGAACTTATTTTAGCATTTTGTGCCTTTAAGAATTCTTGAATTTCATTAATTGAATTCAACTATCTTAAATATTATAATAATTTCTTAGTTGTAATATATCAAATCTCGATTTTCAAATCTTAAATATTATAAAAATATTTATAAATATGAAAATTATGATATATATGTATTATATTATTTATGTATGTCATATGAATTTTATATTAAACTTGTAAGTTTCATAAAAGTCAAAAACCAAATTCAAAGCTTTCGAAACTTTTAGATTCTGGAATTTCGAATCATGAATGGAATTAATTTTTCCACATGAATTTCGACAATGTTTAATAATTACGATTTAATATTTTTATTAAATTAATGGTATTATTATTACACGCCCCCCCATTTTAGGGGTAAAATGTGTTTTTCTTTATTTTATTGGGGCGAAATTTGAAATGTTCAACTTTAGTGGTGGTAAGTTGTAATTAATCGAGTTTTTTCCGGTTCTCAGTTCTCACGCAGGCGGTGCTGCAGTTTCTCTTTCTCTCTCCTAATTCTCTCTCTATATATATAACCGATGAATCAATAATCTAACAAAGATCAATACTTTCTCTGTATTTTTTCTCCCAAGTAAAGAAGACACACCATACAAACATGGGAAACGGTATTTCCACTGCAATTTCTAATTACAAAATAGACAAATCTTAGCGTACACCGCCAACAATTGATTCGAACAATTTGATGTAAAAATTGGTTTGAATTTCAGGTGACAAAGGTCGTCCCAGCAAGAAAATCAAGTTCTCCAAGGTTCCAAGAATTAATTTGTATCCTGTTTATTTTTTCCGCTATTTTAATTTTTTTTAACATAAATTATTGATTTTTGTTGGTTTATTGAAGGAGGAGTATAATAGGGCTTCGGTTCCCGAAGACAATAATGAATCTCGTTTCGGAGAAGATATGGACGAAGATCGCGATGGTACCGATCAATTTTTCGTTGTATTGAAGCACTAAATCTCCCGTGTTCTTGTTCTGTTTACGAATTTGCACAATTTGGATTTGGGGGAATTGATTGATTGAATTACTTGATTTAATTTCAGGTGAAGGGAAAAAGAGGGATTTCACGAAATTGGAACTTAAACCCGATCATGCAAATCGCCCTTTGTGGGCTTGCGCGGATGGTCGAATTTTCCTTGAAACTTTCTCCCAGTTGTATAAGCAGGCCTATGATTTCCTCATTGCGATTGCTGAACCAGTTTGCAGGTATATTTTTCTGCTTAGTTCGATTAAAACATGCGCATAGACATATAAAATACGTCTTTACCGAAGTTTGGCACTTACCTTACTGAGAACGATAAACATAGATTGCTAGCAACTGTTCTCCGTGTTAGTTGCTCTGCTACTATTTAATATGACGTGAAGTTAACAGTCAACACCAGCATTTGCAAACATGACTTGATATATTGCAATGAGCATTACGAGTCCTTCTGTATTATGATTAAAATAGAAACTAATTAGTTTCATGTTCTTTTCAGTAGCCTTTTCCACAAGTTTTTCTTGAACGAAGCATCTCTTGAAATATGTTACTCTGGCTATTTCAGAATTCTAATTAGTATTGCAATTTTGGAGCAGCTCACTGAGCATCCAAAATATTGACTTAATCAGTACTATTGTTATGAATGATGTGTCCCCAAGTCCATGGCTAGAGTCTACATTTGACGGATTATTGAGCACCTGTGAAAAGATACAGATGCGTCAAAACATTTTATACATATCTATGCCGATCACATCCTATGGACATTAGTAGTATGGATTTGGAAAAAAGACGAAGTAGAATCTAAATATTCTTGTACTGCTCGAGTAATATACAATTTCAGGAATTTTATATTATTTTCTGTTTTGTCTTCCTATGCATATTTTTGTTGTTGTGTGCATTTAGACATTACAAGAATAGGATTTGATGGGTATGTTGTTCAACAGGCCAGAGTCGATGCACGAGTACAACTTGACTCCACATTCCTTATATGCTGCTGTGTCAGTGGGGCTCGAAACAGAAACCATCATTTCTGTCTTGAATAAACTATCGAAGACCAAGCTTCCGCAAGAGATGATTGATTTTATTCATGGTTCTACTGCTAATTACGGCAAAGTGAAGCTTGTGCTCAAGAAGAATAAATACCTCGTGGAGTCCCCATTTCCAGAGGCAAGATATGATGATCCTATATGTTCTTGGGTCGGATAAAGAACATGGACTATCATCAGGCATTATAGTCTTACGGTTTTTTTTTTCAGGTATTGAACAGGTTGCTACACGACGAAGTTATTGGACGAGCTAGAAAATTGTCCGACGTGTCTGAGGTATATTTATATCCAGAGATTTGCTCACTGTAATCTAAACATCAAACTACCTACAATTTTACTAAATTTCTGATCCGGCTTATTCAGGGAAATCATGGAAGTGAAGGCTTTATGAAAGGCAAATCCGCTGCTGAAATAGGAGGCGCCCATGATGAGTTGCTTAATGAAGCTGAGTTGGCAGCTGTAGCTGAAGAAAAAGAAACCCATTCATTTGAAATTGACCCTGCGCAGGTATGTTGATGCATGCCATTAAGATAACTGTGATTTGGAATCTGAGTTGCAAGCATTTTTCAGTCCCTGGGTAATTTAGGTGATGAGGTGATGACTTATAGTAGTTTCCTTGATATCCTAGATTAAGATCTCTGGTAGAAGTGTAACGACAATGGTTGCCCGCTTTTTTTTTGTTGATTTCCTAACTGAACTACTCAGACTGGTTCGGGAATCCGCTCTCTGACTAAAGTATAGAATTATTTTCTGTTCATGCATTTCCTTTTTACCGTAATCTGTTTTAGTTAGTAAACATGAAAAAGATTTGCTTTCCATGTTCGTAAAATACATTCATCACATATCAATTGAGTGACCATATGCCATTAACTAGTTTCGCAATTCACAGGTTGAAAATGTAAAGCAGCGGTGTTTGCCTAATGCTCTGAATTATCCCATGTTGGAGGAGTATGATTTTAGAAATGATCCGGTGAGTAGCTCCAGTTTCTTCCTAGAATCAGGAAGCTAAGATAAATCAGAAGCTTGACTTCAGAAATGATAGTTTGATTGGATATTAGGGTTATTTGAGTAATTCCACTGACATTGTGAATACTGCAGGTCAATCCTGATCTTGAGGTCGAATTGAAGCCCCACGCACAACCGCGCCCTTATCAAGAAAAGAGTCTTAGTAAAATGTTTGGGAATGGTAATGGTCTTCACATCCAGCCGATTAACAGAGTTCATTGTCTTCCAAATTGTGCAACATTATATACCTGCAAAAGGAAGCTTGAACTTCATGTCTTAGGACATAGAGGCATTAGTTAAAGTAATAAATAGTAGGGTGAGTGCTTTCAGCAGAACATTGAATACCGTGAAGAAAAGAGGCATCAGATTGACGATTGTGCTTGCTCCGATATTTATTTTCTGATCATGTCTTAAGCTACTATATATTGTCAGTCTTAATGTTTTGATTGTGTGTACACAGTAATTTAATTTTTAATCAACATATTACAGTTAGAAATCATACGAGTAGATTTGATTTTTTGCCTTCACTTTGGCAGCCTGGTTTTGATCCCATTTTATGGTGTCAATGTCTTACATAATATCACTCAGGAACTTAATAAACTAGTTGCTAGTAGTTCAATGAAAGAATCTTCGTATGTTTCTAATTCAAAATTTTCTGCAAAATCAGGAAGAGCACGTTCGGGTATCATTGTTCTACCGTGTGGTGCTGGAAAGTCCTTAGTTGGCGTTTCTGCAGCTTGTAGAATTAGAAAGAGTTGTCTTTGTTTGGCTACGAATGCTGTGTCTGTGGATCAGTGGGCTTTCCAGTTTAAATTGTGGTCAACCATTAAAGAAGATCAAATCTGTCGTTTCACATCTGACAGCAAAGAGAGATTCCGTGGCAATGCTGGGGTGGTGGTGACAACATATAATATGATTGCATTTGGTGGAAAACGTTCTGAAGAAGCCGAAAAGATAATCGAGGAAATAAGGAACCGAGAGTGGGGACTGTTGCTCATGGACGAGGTGACATTTTTAATTTTATATTGTATAAACATGAAATTTATCTGGATTTATGATGGTGTATGCATGTTTATATTTTCTTTAAATCCCTCAGGTTCACGTGGTTCCTGCTCACATGTTCAGGAAGGTCATTAGTCTCACAAAGTCTCACTGCAAATTAGGGCTCACTGGTTTGTATTTAACAATGTTACAAAATATATGATCCATGTTTATCCCTGTGTGGGTGTGATAGAGAATAATTTCTTGATGCCAACTGATTTGCAGCAACTCTTGTGAGAGAGGATGACAGAATTACAGATTTGAACTTCCTTATTGGTCCGAAATTGTACGAGGCGAATTGGTTGGACTTAGTGAGAGGAGGATTTATAGCAAATGTTCAATGTGCAGAAGTCTGGTGTCCAATGACAAAGGAGTTCTTTGCTGAGTATCTCAAGAAAGAAAATTCAAAGAAGAAACAGGTAAGTTGTTTCAGTAGGGTACCTTCTTTTATCATCTTAGTTCGAAAAATTTGAGCAGGCTTACGGAATATTAAAGTGTGTTGCACCAGTTGTCCAGAATTATTATTTTGAATGTTTGTAGTGTTCATGTAATAGATATGCTTATTTTATTACGTAAAGTGTGTTCCTCCATTATGGCTTTGATAAACTACACTGGTCTCTCTTATGATGTGTATGCTTGACGATTTGCTATTAATCACTTCAATGACCATGAAATAGATCCTTTTTGTACGTCGTGTTAACCAACATTTTTTAACAAGCACATATTTTGTAGATGTTTGCAACCGTTAATTAGCATTAGGCAATATATACTGTTTCTTTAGTATTGTAGTTTGGGTGCTCTTTTTTACAAAGAAAAACACGGTGGAAGAGTTGATTTCCTTGTGCTATAGAATCTTCTAGAATTTTCCTTGCACCTTGTCTCTTCTGACATTTTTTGTTCTTGGTATCTTTTAGGCTCTCTATGTGATGAACCCTAATAAATTTAGGGCTTGTGAGTTCCTTATCCGATTCCATGAACAACAGCGGGGTGATAAGATAATCGTTTTTGCTGACAATCTGTTTGCACTGACGGAGTATGCAATGAAGCTTCGAAAACCTATGATTTATGGTGCCACCAGGTTTGTGAATATTGGTTATTCCGTGAGATTTTTAGGGTGTCTGGGTGAACTTATAAGCTCTTTCAAACATCTTATAAGATGTTGCAAATTATATGGTTCCTTTTTAAAAAATAAAATCAGTTCTGACAGTATTGGGCATTTAGTATCTTTAAGCTCTATTATCAAATCATTTTAAGAATTTATTTTTTAAATAAGGTCTAGCATCTTTTATGATGTATGGGGTTGTAAGTTAATAAGCTTAGCCAGAAACATGTTTATGTTCTCATGAGTTTGACTCGTTAATGTAATTTGCAGTCATCCTGAAAGAACAAAAATCCTTGAAGCATTCAAAACCAGTAAGGATGTGAACACCGTTTTCCTTTCAAAGGTATGTTAATGTAATCAGTTTGTCTTTTCCCCAATGTTTTGTTGTATCTGCACTATATGGATTTACTGTTCATGCATATGATGTTCACATGCTACATGATGAATTCTCTTTTGATGTCGATTCAAACTTTTTATGTCTATTATGAACCTGAAGTTTGTATGCACAGCGAAGGATAAAAGTTTCTTTACAAGCATGATTATCTGATTTTTCAACAAGTGATACTGATTATGTTGCCTTGATTATAATTGTTTATACGATCGAATCAGCTTTACAAGACACTGAATACATCTTGGTGATGTCTTTGAATTAGGACCATTAATTTTATATGTTCAGTATCCCTTTAAAAGTTTATTTTGTCATGTATAGTATAGTATATATACTTGAGGGAAGAATTGCTGACTATTTATTGACAGGTGGGAGATAATTCGATTGATATTCCAGAGGCAAATGTGATAATTCAAATTTCATCACATGCTGGTTCAAGGCGTCAAGAGGCTCAACGACTTGGTCGTATTCTTAGGGCTAAGGTGCGTTCTTTAGATGTCTGTACACTGTTTTAATCACTTCCGTACGAGAGAAATGTTAGCTCGTTTTTCATTTACCGGAAAGAGGAGAAAATAACTATATATGCTTCTTGAGCCAATTTATTAGCACGATATGCAGTGGACTTGGATAGATTGTGTTATATACTTGAGCTACCCTTATAACTGTTGGATGCATATTAACCCGTAACTTTACAATGGGCTTATTTTGTGAATGTTTTTTGGTTATTAGGGAAAACCTCAGGACAGGGTGGCTGGAGGCAAGGAGGAGTACAATGCATTTTTTTACTCTCTTGTATCCACCGACACTCAGGTGCGTTAATCTTCTATTTCCAATTTTTTTTGTATTTTTTATTTTTTGTATTAATTTTTTTTTTCCATCTTGGGTCGACTAATTTTTTCCTACTTATGTGATACAGGAGATGTATTATTCAACCAAGAGGCAGCAGTTTTTGATTGATCAAGGTTACAGTTTTAAGGTACAAACTTGTTCATTCCTCAAGAAACTGTTACGTTTGCCCCCTTTTGGAGCTATATTTTCAATTTATTCTCGGGAAAAATGTTTTCGGAGAAGAATTTGAGAAATAGTGTAATGTTTGTTTGTATCTTAGTGAAGATATATGGTACTCTAGGAGTCAAATCATGCATGTACGAGGGAGAAACTTTTGGAAGTTTTTCACAAATTTTTTTTCCTAAGCAAACATAATATCATTTTGGGAGAAGATCGGGAAAAATTTCAAAATCGGGCCAAAAATTGAGTTCCCTTTTACAGTAACGCCATCTATTTTTCTTTATGGTTATTTGCTCTCTTAGGTTTCTCCTGCAAATAATGGCATATAAGAGTCAGTGATAGCATACAAATATTTTAACCAACCCCTGCTTATGTATTTAACCGCGGAAACTGGTTTTTCAGGTTATCACAAGCTTGCCTCCTTCCGATTCAGGATCCGAGTTGAGCTACCATCGTCTTGAGGACCAGCTTGCACTTCTCGGAAAGGTCGTTATCCTTCATTCACTCATTCGTAATTTAATTCTTAAACCTCTTTCTGCACAAATCGAAGCAAACTGGTTTTTTTTTTTTTTTTTTGGAACTAAAAATAAATATCTCCTTGATTTATTGTCTGAAGGTACTGAGTGCGGGCGATGATGCAGTCGGTTTAGAACAACTGGAAGAAGATGCAGATGATATTGCTCTTCAGAAAGCCCGTCGCTCTGCTGGATCCATGAGCGCAATGTCTGGAGCCAATGGAATGGTTTACATGGAATATAGGTACAAAATAAATTTTAAAAAAAACTTTTTTATTTTATTTTTTTATTTTAAATTTCTATAGGTAAAATTTTATTGCAACTTCTGTTATTTTTTGTGAAATTTCGAATAAGCTATATCGTCTATTTGTTGCAGTACTGGGCAGAAAAAGCTACATGGGCAAATGAAGAGCAACAAGCCCAAGGATCCAACTAAGAGACATCAGTTATTCAAGAAACGTTTTGGCTAAACAGTCCTGGAAATTGATGAAATCAATTCATCAAACTTACGGAATAATATATACGTAATGTTTATACCGAGCGTTTTGGGCATTTTCCGTTTTGTTCGTCGTCAGTTTTGAACTGGACCATAGTACAAACTCCACGGCGAAAATCCAGCTAACAGACATGTTGTCCGGTTTGTTTTATGCTACATGCGATGAATTTTATCGAGTTAGTACTGGGAACTATCCATTATGAAAACATTTCATATGTTATGTTTGTGATTTTGTCATACGTATATGTGCGGGATTCTTTATTTCACCAGGTGTAGCATTTATGAACAGTAGTACTCCTGGATATTTTGTACATAATTTGTCATTTTTCTTAAATCGAGTTCAAGCTCAATTCGAACTTCATAGCTTATCGAACAAAAATATGTATTCAAGTTTGGTTCGTTATAATAACAAACCGAGCTCAAATGATTTTTTTAAGGAACGATCTCGAATCAAGGGTCGAATAAGTTTGTTTGATTTTTAACGAGCCATAGTTTATGTGTTATTTATCCGAGATATTGGTGGCCATGTTGCAATTCCCCACCTAGACATTACCTACTACTCCCTCCGTTCCTAAATAATTGTCACTTTTCACTTTTCACAAAGATTAAGAAACTCAATAAATATATTTTGATTTTAGAAAAATCATATAAAAATGACTAAAACAACCTTTAATATTTTATGATTAATGAGAGAAAATTAATGAATAGAGTTTCATTAATAAGGTTAAAACAGGAAAAATGCATTTAATGTAGTATTGGAAATGTAAAGTGACAGATAATATGGAACAAAAATATTTTTAAGGGTAAATTCCACTTTACCCCCTCGTACTCTGCCCAAGAACCACTTTACCCCCTCATACTCTCAATTTCATCAATTTACCCCCTTGTACTTGTACAATTTCCCAATACAACCCTCTTCGTCAACTTTTTTCGATTTTGACTCTGACGCCATTTGGTCAAGAGTTAAAATATTGACGTAAATATTGATTGTTTTCGATTTGGCCTCCCCGTGATTAAAAAAGATAAAAGTTTCCCCACATTCATATATTTTTTTTCTTTGCCCCTGGGTGGAATCGATCAATTTTTGGATCTTGATTTTTACTAAGTTAGGGGTTCAATTTGGGGATATCTTGGAAGGGGAAGTGGTGGGAGAAGAAGAAATGACAATATTGACGGAGGAGAAACGACGCGTTATAGGCAGTGGCAATTTTGTAATTTACAGAGTTGACCAAACGGCGTCAGA